TACAAATGCGCTTTACACAATTGATGTGTGTATGGATTGGGATAACAGTTGTATGAGCCCCTAATAAAATGTTAAAAAAGAAAAAATAAATAAATAAAAAGAGAAGAAAAAAAAAATGAACTAGTCTCCTCCCTCGCTCCCTTTCTGCAGCCCTGACACCAGCCTCCCATTCAAGAACTGAAAAATAATACGGAACAAAGCAGTCTTTTGTGAATGCTCTACCCTTGACCTTGTAGTTAAGCTCTGTTGTAACTATTGTATATGTTTGGAGTTTAGACTATCTTTAACAGTACAGATTTGGAAGGGTACTGTTAACTGACTATTCACACCCACTGGGCAGCAAGTACTTCCACATCTGTTTATTTGCCTTGTCTGTCTTTTCAGCTGAGACCCAGCAAGTGAGGCTCTTGTGAGTCGTCAAAACTGGTATTCCAAGGGTGTGAGGGTGATCTGAGACAATGACAAGGGCCTTCCAATCGACTGGCAGGCGACTGAGCCTTCACGTTGGCTGGTCAAGTTCCTCACCTCACCCAGGTGGCTTGCAATGGATGAGTGATTCCAAGTGATTACATGGTCCCTGCACCAAAGCTCAGCTACTTAACTCAAGCCCCTTGGCTCTTATTCAGTTCTAACAAATTCACTGGGGTTCCACGCAGATCTTCATAGAGAGACAAACAGTTCCCTCATTCATTCAACACCATGTCCTGATTATGTAAGAAGTGCTAGGCATGTGGTCACGGAGCATGACCTGTAACAGTGACCCCTTATCCTCCCTGGCTGAAATGGGGAGGATGGCTCAGGCATTACATTATTTGAATTAATAACTGATTCATATTAACATTTAATATTAATTTATTATTTTAAATAAAATAGAAATACTAGCAATATGCATTATTGCTAATGAAAACACAGAAAGTGCTGACGATCACGCACTTTCTAAAGACTGTAAAGAGTAATTATCCTTTCCAGTACAAAGAGTAACAAATGCTTGTAGTTTATTGACCCCCACATAGAAGCTAAAGTTTACTTCTAAAAAATGATATCCCACATACATGCTTGTTACTCTCTTTGCATTAAAGGCTGACTGCCATGCAGTTCTCTAAAGTAGAGATGCGAAATGCAGGACTTACAGCAGTATTTCTACATGTGGAGAGAAGGAAAGTGAGATCAAGGCAAAGATCGTGCCTACAGCTATTTAACATTTTAGCCTAGACTGGGCCTTGCAGCCAAAAAGTCAGCTTCCTTCTCCCTTTGCTAAAATCATATGGCGTCTGTTCTGACAACCAAAATTCTTACTACTGTAGACACACGGTAGCATAAAACCTTTATATAAAGAATGTTTGGTTTTTTTTAAAAAAATGAAGTGTATCCCAAACACCAACCACCACCACCACCACCGCCCCCCCCCCAAAAAAAAAAATCAAGGCCACTTGGGAGTGATGACTGCCAAATTAGTTTCAAACAATGTCTATGTTCTTTTTTTTAATTTCTATGTTTTTCACAATTGCTTTCTATAACCTTAACTCAGTGAAAAGAGAAATCACATTATTACAACTGCTGAATCCATTTTCTGGAAACAAGAATGTACCAGGTTTGTCAATGGCACCAAGCTCCAGACCAGAATTCACCAAGGCTACTTGATAAACTCTGGATCAGTGGGTGTTTTTAAGGAGCCCTGGTGGACTGTGGGGTACATGTTCACCTGCTAACAGCAATGTGTGCCGTTTTAACCCCACCCCCACCCCAGTGGCCCTGTAGGAGAAAGGATGCTATACTGCTCCCTCAAAGATTTAAAGCTTCGAAGATTAGGGTCACCATAAGTTAGGATTGATTCAATGGCAGGGAGTTTTATTGCTGTTGTTTTGGCGGGAGATGTCTTTTCAAATGTCTAAGTAGATACAAGAACCTCATTAAAACTTGATGGGAGATACACTTGCCTAGAAATCAGATCCATACAGGCAATAATCTGAGTGTCTATTCCCAAAATAACCCAAATTTACCACCATTGAGTCGACTGCCCCTGTGGGTTTCTGAGTCTATAACTTTTTCCAGGAGTAGGAAACCTTGTCTTTCTTCTGAAGATTGGCTGCTGGTTTTGAACTGCTGACCTTCTGTTATCAGCCCAATGTGTAACCATTATGCCACCAAGGCTCCTCGAGTGCCCACTTAGGAAGCTGTAAAAGTTCCAAATGAAAAAACAAAAACTAGCCTAGGCTTTGCCTAAATTTATGAGAAAAGAGACCCAAGCTATCATTTGGGAGAGCCTGTGTTTCTTACATTTCAAATAAGCTTCACCATATTCAATACCAATGCTATGCTTCCTCTTTCGTGTGGCCTTTTGCCTTGCTTCCTCGAGAGATTTCTCTCGGCCACGCTTTGCTCTAGTTTTCTGCCCAGCAGGAATTGTTGTATTTCCTAGGTCAACTGTAAAGAACTTGTTTTGATGCTGTCTGGCCGTAGGCATACACCTTACACTGACTGTTCAATATGCTATGCAAATGAAGCATCTGTGGCCTACCAAGAGGGGATTCTTCAGTTCAAAGCCCTGAAGGGAAAGATATGCCTTGACGTTGGCCAGAAATGTGGGTGTATATGCAGCCAACCGGCAGAAAGCAGCAGGAAGTTCAGTAGAAAGGAAGAGAAGCAGCAGAGAGATGGGGTAAGAGGTCTCCTAAAAGCACTGTCACAGGGTTAAGGGCTAGAACACTAAAGACAGAGAAAGACCCAGAAGGGGTCCAACAGCAGAATAAGACTTGAGGGGGCCAAGAGGAACTGAGGGCTGTCCTGCCAATGTGCTTCCTGATCGGAATACCAAATGGCGCCGTTGCTTCTATAATAAACCATTTACCTGTTTTATGGTGGGTTTCAACAGATGATCAACCCCCAAAATAAAGGAGGGAGGGGCAGTTGGTGTCCGAATTGGTAAAGAGGCTGAAGGGTGCAGGGAGGTTATGTCTGATGGGAATCAGCCTGATCCTGATCACTCCTCTCCAGAAGTTAAGCGGGTTCTAATGCTAATACAACTTCCCTGTTCCACTTCTCCAACTAAATTATTCACAGCCTGAAGACAGATTTGGTCTCTATTCTTTTATTTCTACTTCTCCTCCCCTCCCCTCACCATTTCCTAAAGCCTGATCTACATTTAGATAGGGAACATTCACCTGCCTTTTCTTCCTCATCATCGTCAGTTATAGAACACAGAGGGTAGAGGGAAGTGTAGTCTAGTCCTCCGGTCACAGACAAGGAATTTGGGAGGCATGATTGACTTTAAGTGATCGCCAGAGAATTTTCCAGCCTTCACTCAGCTCCTTTATAATTACAGCCTGAATTTTTAGTCTGTTAGAAATCCTCTCAAATTCTTCTATCTGTGCCGTTTCCTGTGCACATCAGCCTTTGTATATTTAAAAAAAATTTAAACCTTTGCACGACAGGCGGCCTTCCTCTCTCGGTCATAATTCTCTGTTCAAAATTCTCCAGTGATCCCACATGCCGCCCATAGGGGCGCGACCTACTCGTAAGCCCTAAACCTCATCCCAATATCGCAGGATCGATTCCCACGCATGGCCAACCCTATACTGGGTTTCAAGACTGCATCTCTTACTCCGGCGGAGCGACTGGTAGGTCTGAAACGCCGACATGGTGGTTCGCAGCCCAAACCCTCAGTCTCGGCGCCCTCAGGACTCCTAGCCTCAAGGGTTACTTACTGGTCAAAAGTGCCACTTCCGGCCCACTTAAGCGGGCACGAGACTCAATGAGACAAACTTTAAATCATCTACTCTTCGGGCTCTATCGCCTTCACTTGACCCCGATTGGCGCCCCTGGCCTCCGGCCCCCGCGCCCCACCATTGCCGTTTCAGACTGGACCCCGGGCTTCCCGCCAACTACGCCTTTCCAGTCGGCGCAGTACTTCCGCGGTCCCTACCGGCTCCCGGCGTCCGCTTCCGCTCCTCCCGCGCATGCGCAGGCCGGCCCACGTGGGCCCGAGCAGGGCGGAACCGGCCGCTCGGCCGGCCACGCCCCCGGCTGAGAGAGAGCTCCTGATTGGCTGCCGGACGCTCGCCCGAGCCGAGTGGGCGAGGGCTTTGCCGGAGCGCCGAAACCTGCTCCGCCAGTCGGCTCTCGAAGAGGCTCTCGCCCGTCGATTCCTCGCCAGCTCTCTCGAACCGTTGCCACCCGCCGTCATGTCTCAGGTACCACGGGCGCCCCACGAATCTGGGGGGGCGCGGTGGCGTGGGAGGTTCCTGTGGGATCGTCTGCGGGCACGATCCTCTGGACCCGTGCCCAGCCCTCTCCCTCTCCGCCGAGCCTGGCGGGGCAAACTTCCTGTTTGCGCCCCCAACCCTGTTACCCACCCCTCCATTGCTGGAAAGTTCTCCATAGGGCTTGGAGGCAAGGGTCCTGGAAAGAAAGTTGGGCATTGATCCTTGCATGATCGAAGGAGTCAGGGACTGGATCCGCCGCCTGGGAAAATAGACCCCCCTGGGGAGGGCGCGCTGTGGCCGTGCGCTTGGAGGTCAGGCCCAGGGGCGACTCATTGCCCTGCCTTCAGGAAGCGCTAGTTCTCGGCTCGTGAGTTGGCGACCCTTCAGATTTGCTCTCACCATGTGGGGTGACCTCTGGTACCTCCCATTTCTTTCCAGTCCGGTCACAGGGACAGAGGTCATCACCTGACACCCGGGATTGGAGGAGGGGACCAGCGGGTCCCAGCCACTGACACCGCTGCATGCATGCCCTGCCCGCTCCGTTTGGAACTCCCTGTGCCACCCTCAGCCACAGACCATAGGCATTCCCTGTGGGGGCGCTGCTGTTGACCACAGGGACTTTCCCGCTGAATGCACACCCGCTTAGGGTAAAGCCCCAGCTTGCCTCCTCCACTGATGACCAGTCTAGTGAAGGCCCCAAGGGGTGGAGGACCCCATTGGATTGAGTGAATGATGTGTTCCCCCCTCCTTGTGCCAAATCTTGCTCTGCCCTGTGCAGTGGGTGGAGGATAGAATGGAGTTCCACCTTTCTGACCTCACCCTTAGTAGGACTCCTCGCCCAACGACCCCCCTAAAAGGCCCCCATCCCTCTCCTTTCTGTCCCATGTAGGCCGAGTTTGACAAAGCTGCTGAAGACGTTAAGCACCTCAAGACCAAACCAGCAGATGATGAAATGCTGTTCATCTACAGTCGTTTCAAACAAGCTACTGTGGGCGACATAAACACAGGTATGCTGGGGTTAGTTGCTCATCAAAGCAAACTCTTGCCAAATGGATCAGTAGACTTGGGCGCTGAAACCTGTAATCTGTGGATACCTCAGTACCTAAACCACCTGAAGCCCTATCCAGACCCAGCACTATTCTTCATTTCTCCATGGCTCAGGGAGCAGAACTCAAATTCTGGTTGTGGAAGAACTTAACTGGCTATCAGAAACTTAGAGGGGAAGAAACAGAAGCCTTAGTTTTGAAGAGATCACTGCAGGCTCTCAGCTCAGTAGTTGCATTGATGAATGTGCTGTATGCCTGCTATGTGAGCAGGGGAAACATTGGAGCACTTGGCAGCCGCCTGCCTTGCCTAGATCGGGAGCAGAGAAACAGCTGGCGTCATGGGGCAGGACAGAATGGTTTTGCTGACAATAGTATGTCCCCTATTTATTGCCTATCAAAAAATCTTGATCCAGACTTTGAGGCCATGGTACTGTCTTCACTGCCTTGGGCAGTTTTCATTCTGTTCCCTGAAACTGGAGTGTAACCGAGACAACAGCAAAAACACTGTCCCTTCAGGATCTGAGTTGACTTACGGCAGACTTGGAATCCCCCCAAACCCTTCAGGGGGACGGCAAGCATTGCCCTGCAGCTCGGTGGAGGCTGAGGTGGTGGGTTGGCTGCTGGCCAGCTAGAAGCCGGAGCTGGTGCCCAGAGCTAAGTAGTCCAAGCAATGCCAGATCAAGTGCTGACATCCACAGAGAGGCCTTAGTTAAGAACGATCTTGTAGCAAAGGTGAGTTTAACACTGTGTGCATAAACTCATCTTCTCCAAGGGAGGAGAACACTGATTGGGGCCCAGAAAAAGAGAAGGTTCGGCAACAGGTGCAGGCCACCGTGCAAACTGCACTGCCACTTGGGCCGTATGCTCTGGCTGATCATTGGCATTGAAAGTGTCGGTGACAGAGAGCTGATATTTGGAGCCTTTGGCTGGCCTCTGTTGGTGAATCATAGACCCTTAGATAGGTTCTGCCTATCCTATACGGATAACTCCTCGCCTTTTGAGAAGCAGCTTGTTACTACATCTTAATAGAGACCAAATGCCGAACCGTGAGCCAGCAAGTCACCACGCAGCCTGAGCTGCCCATCATACCAGGGTGGTTGTCTGCCCCATAAGAGTCATAAAGTTAGGCATGCACAACAGTATTTGGAAGCGGTAGAGACAAGATCAGACTTGAAGGCACGAGTAAATTGCATGAGGAAGTGGCCCAAATGGCCGTGATCTCCACTTCTGTTATATTATCTTCCAGTCTGTACCTGTGGCCTTATGGGAAATTCTCTGTAATCAGTTGACTGGGGAAGAGGAACCTCGTGCTTGGTGTACAGATGATTCTGTACAGTATGCAGGCACCACTTGAAAGTGGGCATCAGCAGCACTGGAGCACCTCTCTGGGGCCTTCCTGAGGGACAGTGAAGAGAGAGCATTCCCATGGGCAGAACCTGGCCGCTTTATGCAGCTCATACCTCGGGATCAACAGGCAAACAAGGGCATGCCCTTATTGGCTGCTGTGATTGATCCTGATTCCCAAGGGGAACTCAGATTGATCGTATATATGAAAGAGTATGTATGGAATTCAGTAGTTTTTTTAGAACACCTCTTTGTACAACCATATTATTAAAGTAGAAAAGTACAGCAACCCAGCTCTCACGCAACTACTGTTTACAGAATGCAATGAGAATACAGAATGAGAAGTAGAAGAAGGTAGTTCGAAATATTAGCTATGACCACCTTGATAGTTACAAAAATGAGGATTGTAATTGTTACGAGTATTTCTTCTTTGCATGAAATATTTCTGTTTTTTATTTTCACTTATAAAATACAAAGTGTAAACAAGGTAGTGTTTTTTATCAGTTACTCAGCTGTTGTTTGTATCGTTAGGTACAGGTTTGATTTTATAATTGCCTTTATTTAGGGGCTATGTGTGACTTGGGAAATTTGTACAGGTGTCAAGTTGACGAGGGGTAGACTGATGAGTAAGGTGTGTCAATTTAATTCTGTCATGATTCTTGGCTTTGATAAGTCAATCATTTGTAAGAGAATTAGGTGATGTACACACCCTTCATCCTATTACAGGCCTGATCAGGTCCACGAGTTTTACTAGGGTGTAGCGTGTAATACTTTTTTTTTTTTAACTTTAAATTTGTGAATTAAGTGAAAGTTTGCAGCGTTAGTTTTATATTCAGCAATTCATACAAATTTTGTTTTACCTGATCCATTGCAATCTCCTCAATGCACCCTCACTTATCCCGTTTTCTTCCTATGTTTCCTGTTTCCATGCCACCTTCTTTCTTAACTCTCTGTACTTTGTCTTTTGGTACATGCCGCTATTTTTATCTTAAATCCTTGATTACACTCGTTTATTTCCAGACCTGAAGAGGAACTAAAGGCCCTGGTTGTGAGCCTGGGCACTTTCATGGATTTTGGTTTTCGTCCATGTTTATTCCTTACTCCATGCAAGGCCTTCTAAAGTGATCCTTTTCAGAACTGTTGGCAGAGGTGGCCAGGCACCATTGCTTATTCTGGTCTCAGAGCCATGGACGCAGCGGGTGTTGGCACGGCTTCTTCGTCCATTGGGCTAAATGTTTCCTTGTGTCTTTTGATTTTCTTCAGTCTTCAGCCTCATTCTTCAGGGAGAGCCCAATCATTGGACCGCAGCTGGCTGCTCACCTGTTCTTAAGACCCAGATTTCTACGCATCAAAGGAGGGTGTGCAATAGTCTTTGGGAACTCTATTACCTGAAACACTTTATCTTTTTTTTTTCTTTTCCTATTTTCACAAATTTATTGATTTATTTTTAATGAGTCATCTTAATGGGGCCTCTTAACATCTCTTAGAACAGGGGTCCTCAAACTGCGGCCCGCCGAGGTTATTGATCGGCCCGCCGGGTGTGTTTGCCCCGTTTTGTTTTTTTACTTCAAAATAAGATTATGTGCAATGTGCATAGGAATTTGTTCATAGTTTTTTTTTTGTAACTCTAGTCCGGCCCTCCAACGGGTCTGAGGGACAGTGAACTGGCCCCCTGTTTAAAAAGTTTGAGGACCCCTGTCTTAGAACAATCCATACATTAATTGTATCAAACACATTTGTACATGTGTTGCCATCATCATCTTCAAAATGCTTTCTTTCTACTTGAGCCCTTGGTATCAGCTCCTCGTTTGTCCCTCCCTCCCGCCCTTGTGAACCCTTCACAAATCATAAATTATCATTTTCATATCTTGCACCGGTCACTGTCTCCCTTCTCCCGCATTTGTTGTTCATCCCGTGTGTGTGTGTGTGTGTGTGTGTGTGTGTGTGTGTGTGTGTGTGTGTGTGTGGCGCGTATATGTCGATCATTGCAATCGGTTCCGTTTCTCCCCTCACCTTCCCCCTGCCCTCATGATGTCACTACTCCCATCACCATACCTGTGGCGTTACCTGCCCTGGGTCCCATGTGTCAAGAGCTCTTATCGGTACCAGTGTACATGCTCCGGTCTAGCCGGATTTGTAAGGTAGAACTCAGGTCATGATAGTGGCAGGGAGGAAGCATTAAAGAACTAGAGAAGTGTTGTGTGTTTCGTTGATGCTATACTACATCCTGACTGGCTCGTCTCTTGTGACCCTTCTGTAAGGGGATGTCCAGTTGTCTACAGATGGACTTTGGGCTCCACTCTGCACTCCCCCTCTTTCACAATGATATGATTATTTTGTTCTGGGTCTTTGATGCCTGATAACCTGATCCCATGGACACCTCATGATCACACAGGCTGGTGTGCTTCTTCCACGTAGACTTTGTTGCTTCTCAGCTAGATGGCCGCTTGTTTAACTACAAGCCTTTAAGACCCCAGATGCTATATCTTTTCATAGCCGGGCACCATCAGCTTTCTTCACCATGTTTGCCTATGCACCCACTTTGTCTTCAGCGAGCGTGCAACCCTTTATCTTCAAGAGCTAAAAGGAGAGAGAAGTAAGCAAAGAGAGGAACCGTCTGCTACTGAGAAATACGAACCAGGCACAGAGCACATCCTTAGACCTGGAGTCCCTGTGCTGGGCACCTCCCCAAACCAGGGGAAGATTGATGACAAGGTCTCACCTCAAGAGCTAACAGAGAAAGCCCGCCCCTAGAGCAGACATGTGACTTTGGACATGTAGCCTCTTAAACTTCTAAAGAGTGAGTCTTAGTTGGTTGGAGCCATCCGCTTGTAGCTCTGAAAGCGGCACTAGGTCATGATGACAGAGGGGCTGGGATGCTTCTCCTCCAAACAGGATTGTTCACAAAGCCTGGCCTCTGGCCACGCTGCGGCTACTTAATCTTGCTGGAGCCTAAGTAGACTGATTTGGGAATCTATACCTGATTAGGGAGGTATGTTTCCAAGGGCCGCACTGTCGTTTACCATCGTCCCAAACCCCATGTGACCACTGAGATTTATACTAAAAGTAGTTTAAATGAAACAAACGCCAAAGGTTGAGCCCTCAGCTCTGCTTCCGGTGCTCAGTAGCCACAAAAGACAAGCAGATGTGAGCATCCCTGTGGGTCCAGACGAGGTTGTTGGAAAGTGCTGCACTAGGATTCTGGTGACGACTCTCAAGTACAGTTGCTTCCATGTGTGTCTGGCAGGGCTTCCCTAAAAGGATCCAGGAGACGGGATTCTTCTTAGACTTGGGGATCCTGGCACGTGAAAACCACTTCGATTGCTACGTCGGTGTTGTGCTCAGCCTAGCGTTGTAATATGTCAGCAGGAAAGTCATGAGTGTAGTTTCCCAAGTACGTCCATGTGACCCAACGGTAACAGGTGTGTCGGCGTAGGATGCTAGCACAGAGGGATGATAAACACTCCCGTATCTTTCAGCTCCATATTTACACAGTCATTTTGGAGGCCCCTCCTAAGATTTAAAGAAGTGATGCCTTTGGTTATAAGTCCCACAAACCCATCAGAACCAGACCGACAGCAGAGCAAGGACACGAACAGGCAGGAACCTGGGGAAACCAACCAGGTGGGCAGAAAAGTTTACCATCTTATTTTTTGCAGCGTTAGGTTTTGAACCCCATGAATGTAATACCTGGTTTAAAAATAATGACCGTTTTAAAAGGAGACATTTTGGAATTATTTACCTTATACCACAAGGACTGCCTTATAATCTGTCCAGCTTTCCTCCTAATTCGGGTCTTTGTACATCTGGGTTTCTTAAGAGGCTCCCTCGGTGGCATGAATAACTGAAAGGTTGGCCTGCCTGCCTGAAGCTGTCTGGGAAGAATAGCCTGGTGTCTCCTTCCACAGGGGCAGGCATGAGACCCTGGGAGCACAGCTCTGCTCGGCACACACATGGAGGGCACCATGACTTGGAATCGACTTGAAACAACTGGCTCTGTTCGCTTAAAAACCCACTGTAAAGGACCAACCAGCTCAACCCCATGACATGCTCTAGAGCAGCAGTTCTCAACCTGTGGGTTGCGACCCCTTTAGGGGGTCGAATGACCCTTTCACAGGGGTCGCCTGATTCGCAACAGTAGCAAAATTACAGTTAGGAAGTAGCAATGAAAATAATTTTATGGTTGGGTGGGGGCGGCCACCACAACATGAGGAACTGTATTAAAGGGTCACAGCATTAGGAAGGTTGAGAACCACTGCCCTAGAGGAATAGGTATAATTTTAGCTCTTTTCCCCCTCCTGACAGTGAACTAGACCCTGCCATGATTCTAGCAGCCCTGCCCTCCTGCCCTCAGCAGAGACCCAGAGGAGGTCCCAGGGAATCAGCCACTCCATGGTCACCCAGGCTCCTCCCCTCAGCCTGGTTTTCAAGGGCTCCAAGTCAGAGAGAATCACTTGCAAGTCACGTGCCCTTTCCCCAGAGCCCACCTTTGAAAGGCAGTGCTCGCCTCTCAATGCCCGCACCTTCCAAATCTTGAGACCTGCTCTGAGCTGCCAAGCCAGGAGCCCCAACCACGCCCTCACTGATTGAGTCAAACACAGGCATCGCGGTCTCCACAACGGCTCCCCTCCGAGTGAGACAGGGCTGAGGCCCTCTAGGCCACAGCAAGGGGGTGGAGACGCCGAAGCTAGTGGGAAGCCACCTGCCCCGCACACCCCGGCTCGCTTTTAAGCTGAAGAAACAGCAAAGCAAAGCTCTGGTTTATAAGAATCAGGATAGGGATTACGACTCTAGACGGATGGGTTAAGGGACAGATATGGATCTCAGCCAGATTGTATCCTGATATTAATGAATCAACTGCAGATTTTAGTAGCCAGATTTTGAGGGGAAGTGAGAGCATATTTGGTGTATTTTTTAAAGAGTCAAGGAGAAACGGGTGGGGTGATAGCTCAGCAAGACCACTCAAGAGTTCATAATCTTTGAAGCTGCTTGACGGATAGATGAGGTTCATTATTCTCTTTTATGTCTTTGATTTTTTTTTTTTTTGTAATAAAGTTTTCTTTTTTAAAAAAAGCTGTCTTCAAGGAGAGGTGTACTTGAATCCCAGCTCCACACTTACTGACCTGGATCTGTGGCCTTGGGAACATCTTCCTGAATGTTTCTGGTTTCTGGTCCTCAGTTTCTCCATCTATAAAATTAAAATACAAGCCTTCATCACCAAGCTGGGGGAAAAAAGGTGTCTTTCAAGACAAGTTGATAAAGTTCTCTGTTAGAATTTGAAACGTGTCTAATTTCCTTTCTTTCCTCATTTTAAGAACGACCTGGAATGTTGGACTTCAAAGGCAAGGCCAAGTGGGATGCCTGGAATGAGCTGAAAGGTAATCTTCGATTTTGATCATTTCCCTTGCCTGTGAAACCCTGTCGTGAAAGAGTCTCCACGATACAATGCAGAGTGTGTGGCGAGAAACCAGATTGAGTTGTGCCCGGAATGGGAACAAACTGGGCCACCCAGTTTCCCTCTGCTGTGAATGCCGTCTGTAAAAGCACCCTCCCTGGGCAGTGGTAGCGGCCGGAGAGCCAGGGTCAGGGACCAGGCGACTGAACAACAAGCCGGGAGGCAGTGTGGTCGGCGTGGGCTTTGGACGTGCTCAGCATAGAGATGGTTTCCTCCCCCACATGGCCAGGCAGTGACCCTGTAACCACAGAATCCTCTCCGGTGCCCTGCTACCACAGCGCACACGAGAGAAGAAGGGTGCTACTGCATGGCAAGCTGCTGGCACAGGCTACGGCGTGGTGTGAATGAGGACCATTGTGTGCTAGGAAACTGCGGCCAACAGGAGCCTGGCTTCTGTGTAATCATGTGCCCCCTATGGTAGCAAGACCCGCAATTGGCAGCAGAGCGCCAGCTTTTGTGTTCTCCCGCGCAAGTCTCTGAATAAGCCTTCTGTCCTCCTACAAGTGAGGAGCCCTCGAATTCAGAAAGGGGAAGAATCGAGTGGACACTTGCACACCATCCTCGGGCCCCCCTGTGCTGCCCCCGACTGTACCGCAAGCTCCGGTTCCCACGGTATCTCCTCGTAGACTTCAGAGTCCCGGTGTGTCTGTCTTTACATGTCAACAGTCCCCTTTGTGCTGCAGCAAGAAGATACAGATTTGCCTCGTTCCCCTGGAAGAATCAGCTGTTTTGTGTTTCAAAATTCTCAAAACTTTTCTCCGGGGAGCTGAGGGAGTGCACTGTCACTAGTACTGCTGATGAGAGCCCCGCACAGAAACACTCGCTAGGCCACAGCCAAGTGTGAGTCACCGGGACCAGCGAGGGCAGCATGGCTCTCATGAAATGTTGCTGCCTGTCTGCACTACCCTTCTCCTGGGGCCCAAGCTGGCCACTCCCACACAGCTGCGCATGACACGCAGGCCCCTCAGCCAGCTGTGCTTGGAATTAAGGAGCTCAGTGTTTGGCGGCACGTTTATTCCGGGCAAGCTCCGTGGTACTGAGTCAAATCCTTGCAGGTTCTCAAAGAGGTCGCCCGAGGCTGCCCTGCTTTCCCACCGCCCTGCCTTCATGACAAATAACCCTGTCGCTTCCTTACAGGGACGTCCAAGGAGGATGCCATGAAGGCTTACGTAGACAAGGTAGAAGAGCTCAAGGAAAAGTATGGAATGTAAAAAGGGACTGGAGGCGGATGCCAGCCAAGCCTTTGATCCCATCAGATGCCTTGTTCTTTTTCATATTGCGGTTGAAGTTACGTAGTGACGGTAACCACTTAACCCAGTTCCTCGAGCCGTCCAAGATAAGGCTTTCCCAGATGAAGAGCAAAAAATGGTTACTAACTGTATTTGTAGGTCCATTAAAAGTGAATTTGCTACTCCACATTTTTGGTGCTCTGGGTTCTTAAATCATTGACTCTCTTGTTTCAGCCTCGTACTTTCTGTGTCTAAAGATGTCATCTGACAGTGCTTCAGCGTACCCTCCACTCTGCTCCCCCGAGGAGGCCCTGCGTGGCACAAATCATTGAGCACCGTGTGACCAGCCAGACGGTTGGGAGGAGAGGTCCGTCTTGAGATGCAGCAGGGGCAGGTCCTCACCATTTATTTGCAAAAGGTCACAACCATGAAAACCCGGTGGAGCCGTTCTGTGCGCACCTGGGGATGCCATGAGCCAAAACAGACTCCATGGCTGCGGGTTTGTTTTGTTTTCTACTCACCTGACTGAGGCAGGCTGTCCTACCTGTCCACAGGCCGGAGTGAGTTCACCTCTTATGAGGACGGAAAGGATTGCCTCTCATTCTCCTTATTCCAGCTGCACCGAAGAAGACGAGATAGACTGGCTGAGATTCTAGTCTGCAGGGACTTTGGCCCCTGTTAGGACACTCCTGGCTACCGAGGAGGGGAGGATGGAGCAAGTTTGTCCGAGGTCCAGCTAGTCCCTGGTCCCAGAGCAGATGAGTAGGGCAGAGGCCTTATCCAGGATCAGAGTTTGGTCTGACGTGGCAAACCCCAAGTTTCCCGAGGAAGCTTGGCCGTGGCGTTTAGGAGGACAGAGGTGAGTGAGAAAGCGTGTGCTCTGCAGGCATAAAGGGGTTGGGGAGGGTAGCAAAGGAAAAAGGCTGCCAAGAGGTGCTGAGCTTGCCCCTAGGAGATGTAGGCTGAAATATGAACAGGAAGAGTGGACTATCAACAAGGACCGAAGTAGCAGGTGTTGCCATTAAAGCCCTAATACAGGAGAGAGAATGGTTTTTTTATTTCCAGATAGGAGGCCGGAGAGAGATGAGGGAGAGGCCATCTTGTCTTCTACCTCATCGTCAACATAGTTCACCCTCACCCAGAACAATGATGGAACTGAGAGTTAGGGTGACTTGCCCAAGATCACAGGGCTGGTAAAAGCCAGCAGTGAATGTAAACTTCCCTGTAAGCCCCAGGGGACGTGGAGGCAAAGCCAAGTGCTACAGGAGGAGAAACCTGGAGAGCAGGCAGAGCAACTGTATACCCTGCCTCTTCTCGGTCACATAAAGGAACTAGGCCAGGAGGAGGAGTGGTTGCTTAGGGGCAGTGCGTGTATGTGAATGGTGGTGGAACGATTTGGAGAGGGCTGTCAATGGTGGTTCAATGCAGAGTCTAATCAATGGCACTGAATTGTACTTTGAAATTGTTGAAGTGAAGGATGTTTTGTTGTGTATCTTTTCGCTAAAATGGAAAACAGATTACACAAATAATGAGTCCAAGGAAGAAGAAAATGTTCTCAAATTGAATTTGGTAGATTGTTCAAATCTTCTCGATATGATTGAACTATTATATGAGATGTGGCTGAAATGCCAATAAAACGGTTTAAAAAACAACAACTGGGGAGTAGAAAAACTCTACAGTTTAGTTGAAGTGTAGAATTTGAGGTTGTAGGAGGTAAGCATCCAGCTCCTAACCAAAGGTTAGGCAGTGTGAACCCCATCAACGACGCCATGGGAAAAGGATGTGGCAGTCCATTCCAGAAAGATCGCTGCCATGGAAACCCTGTGGGGCAGTTCTACTCTGTCCTGTGAAGTGGAATCAATGCTCCGCAACAGGTTCTGCACTGAGCCACCAGTGGGGAGTGATTGGTAAAAGGCATTTGCTTGAATTATCTGACTGCATCCACGGCTTTTAAGACTAATGAGACCTGCAGTTCTGGCCTAGCCTGCCCTGGAGAGCCAGACTCAGAAACGTACATATAGCCAGGGCGATTGCTCCAACAAAGTAGGTCGAGGACTCAAACCGAGACGTACAACCTAGCTGAGAAGCGGTGATGTTAGTGTATGCCACCGGAAGAGAAGAATGGGCTCATGATCCACTTCAGAAGGAATCCAGGGCGGATGAGCCCTACAGGATCAGTGGTGTGAGTGGCAGAACAGGGAGGGTAGAGGGAGAGTGGGTAGGAAAGAGGGAACCGATTACAAGGAACTGTGTGTGACCTCCTCCCTGGGGGACAGACAACCGAAAAGTGGGTGAAGGGAGACATCAGACAGGGCAAGATATGACCAAATAACAATTTATAAATTATCAAGGGCTCATGAGGGAGTGGGGAGCGGGGAGGGAGGGGAAAAATGAGGACCTAATGCCGGGGGCTTAAGTGGAGAGGAAATGTTTTTAGAATGATGAGGGCAATGAATGTACAAATGCGCTTTACACAATTGACGTGTGTATGGATTGTGATAAGAGTTGTATGAGCCCCTAATAAAATGATTTTTGAAAAAAGAAAAGAAAGACCACAGCCACCAAGACCCTCACGGGCTACAGTTAAACTCCGAAACACAAGGGACCTCCGTGGTTGAAAATCGACTCCATAACGGCTGGTGTGGTTTGGGATTTTTGGCATATGGTTGAGAGTGTATGATGGAGTGGGGCACACAGTATTGTTTTTCTCCCACCTGGCTCCACACCATCCAGGTGGCCACCATCACTAAACCGGGGGACGCACAGAAGGCCATCGGGAGCCACAGCCACTGCCCTGAACCCATACTTGAATATCTCTTTTGCTCACGACTTGCTCCAGGAGCAAATCTAAGTCAACATAACCTTAAATGGAGTTGGAGGCGCTGCTCTTGTCCAACTAGATCAGACTCCTGGGTTGGGCCTAGCACACTCAGACAAAGGGTGTAGGTGAGCAGGTACTGTGGTACCGTGACATGCTTGGCACAGAGAGAGTTCCCGCCGTGTGTATCAGCAACTTTGTCCCACCAACTTTCTTAGTTTTAACTTATTGGCACTTCCTCCACATATATCATTCAATAGTTTAGTCATCTCAAGAAGTGTTGTGCAATCATTACCACAATCAGTTCTGTAACATTTTCTTCTTCCTTGTACTCATTGTTACGCACGCAGTTTTTTTTAATTGTGGCAAAAATATACACAGCAGAACATTCTCCGATTCAACAACTTCTGCATAATTCAGTGCCATTGATTTTACTCTTCATGTTGTACAACCACTATTGATAGCCTTTTCCAAATTATTCTGCCCCCATTAACTCAATGCCCCCTAAGGAAAAACTCGTCCTCCTTCACCCAGAGGAACTATAGGTCAAGTTTGGCTTCTTCCTTTGTGTGTGTGTAGTTTTCTTGATATAATATTCACATATCACACACTTCATAGCTAAATTGCTTTTTAAAAGATTTGCCTATCCATTCTAATGCTCCCCCCTCCCCCCACATTCATAATTGGCTCTCCCCAATTCCCCTCACCTTCACCCCAGTGCCCGATAAACCTTTCCATCAGTTATTGTCCTTGTGCCTACGCTCTTTCTGCCCCCTCGGCTTTCTAGCCAACCCTTGGCCAGAGCAGTATCTGAATCAAGAACTAGTCCATGAGGAAATCCTCCATCCTTGGAGTGACGCTGGGGAGGGTGCAGGCAAGAGAATTACAGCCCAGTCGTCTGACCTGTTTCTAGCTGATGAGAGGCAAAGATGCACACACCCTTGGCTGTGGTTCAGGCTCTGTGTCTGCTCGCTAACCATAAATTTTGAAGACTGAGCATGTGCCTTAGAGAGTTACAAGAAAGCTTTCCCTCTGATCCTCTCGACTGTGTTCACATTGTATACCAACTTGATCATCGGGTCAGCAGTGCCAACCCACCAGCTGCTCTACACAAGAAAGGGAAGGCTAGCGCTCCATAAAGATAAACATCCTTGGACATTCTATAAAGGGTCGCTCTTGAAGTGGATGGCATGTCAGTGGTTTCTTTTGTTGTCGTCCAAATGAAGACGTTGAGGCTTAAACGTGATGTGAGTAAATCCAAAACTAGGAGTCAGGCCAGGCTGACCGGCTGACCCTGGCTTTGCATCTCCACTGGGAATTAAGAAAAGTCGCCAACGTGTGCAACTAGATAGCTGTGGGGGGATGGTTGGAAATGCAGGCTCATCTCCAAAGCTGGAGGGCGACCCAGACTAGCTGTACTTGTTAAGCCCCTCAAGTGACGCTGAGGCTCATCCAGGTATATGCTATGCCCTCTGCCCTCACCCTAGCTTGGAGGTACCAGTTCTCAGGAAAGTCGTGATGTTTGGGTAATGACCAACAGCCTCAGGACTATGGCTCCTACCAGAGTTCATGTGTAGCTAGGGTGTCACTTGGGAACAAAAGAATTGGTGGGTAGTGAGGGGGGTCAGGGGTTTGCTCCAGAGCTCAGGCAGAAGGGAGACAAACAAAGTTTAGAGGCTGAGGATCTCACAGCATCTCTGTGTGACCCCTTATCTTAGATCTGGCTTTACGGTCAGATTTATTTGTGAATCCTACTGACATCTATTAGGTGCTAGATCTTTTGTGTGTGTGTGTGTGTGTGTGTGTGTGTGTGTGTGTGTGTGTTCCAATGATTTTTAAAAATAAAATTCAAATACGGAGGAGGGAGTAGTATCAGAGCTTAAATTCTGAGCACCTGGATATGCGGAGGGCTACGGATGACTGTGAAAGCACGAAGCCCATTTGCAGGGTCTTCACGGGGATTAAGTCTCTGGCGAATTCCCTCCGACCAAGGACTAGTTATGTGAACGGCCTTGCTACTGGCACGCAATGCACCAGAGAGTGGATGACGGCAGACGGAGTTCAAGGGTGAGATCTTGTCATCCAATCTCCTGTTTATCCACTGTGTATTTTGTTTCAGTTTTTAATATTTCCTGTTGAAGTTTCTCTCTGTTGTTTTTCTGAAGTGTTTGTCATTGTTGTGGGCTTTCGTTTGGTTGACTTGTTCTCATTTTTAGTTTAGTGTGTTTCTCTGCGTATGAAATCCAGGATCGGAGAATCTAGGTAGAGAGTACCTGGATTAACCATTTGCTAGGGGCAAGGCAGGAGAGGAGATGGGAAGCTAAGAACAATAAGTACAAAAAAGAAGAAAATTCCCCAAAATTAATTAT